GTGGACCATTCTCATATGTTATAAATAATCCTCTTAGTCTTTCGAAAGTCCAAGTGAAGTTAGTTTGTCATTCACTTGATAAGAATACAAAGGCAGCTAAGAAAGTCACCCTTATTGATGTGACCCCAATATCTCAAGTTATAGCAACTGATATTTGTTGGTTTTGTAGGTGTTATCCATCAAGAAAATAATATTAATTGCATTCAACAACTTTATTGCATTAAGATGTGTCCAAATGATGTCACTTACCATGTCAAATTTGTCTATACATCTACTTTAGTTGATGTATTTATCACAGTCTAATATTATCATCAGCGACTATAATTAAGTTTTTGAAGTTCTCAATGATCGTTTGTAATTGTATCTTGGATTATATACTTGTTTGACTATTATCATATTACACTCATTATTTTCTTTAAGAATAATAAGCATGTTTGCAAGTTTCACTTGACTCTTAGTCATATCAACAAGTAATGATTGTTCAGTGGATTTTAACCTCCCAGTGAAAGGGTGACCAACTAAAGTCTGTAACAAATCATGGTTATTATATCCACAAATCATCATCAATACACACACTTCTCCATTAGAAATTGGTTTGTCTCTCAATTTAAAAGAACAATTGCATTTTCTTGTGCCGGATAAACTATGTTAAATATCATATTTATATTTCTTGTACTTTCCATCCTTTTAACATCCTAACAATATATATGTCTTTCTCCCAAGTTGATCATTAGCTTTATTAGATCTTATGATGACAAAAACAAAATCAAGGTCAAAAGCAATCTCCCAAACCCACTGAATTAACTCATCACATGTGGGAAAAATCTAATCAGTTGTAAAGTTATTTGTGTAATTTCTCACACACATTTCATTTATAAAAGAAAAGAAATCTAACATGAAAGTATAATTTACTTGTGATTTCATAAAATTTAAAAGACAATTTTCATCTTATATACGAAGACTCGAACCATCTATAACATAACATCGTTATAGAATACCTTATTTATTCAATAATAATAACTTGAGATTGACAAATTCATTAAACAAAACATACACAAAGAAACTTAAAAAAAAAACAAAAACAATAAAAAAGTAGGCAAAATAAATTTAAAAAATAAATAAAAAGAAAACACATATAGACAAAAATGAAGAAATTTTAAAACAAAGATGAACAAAAGTGAATGAAGAAACACACTATAACGTGGTTGAGAGAAGAAGAAAGATGAAGTTGAAGAAGAGAGAAACACTTTTAGAGTTGGTTGGAGGTGTAGGATAAGTAAATATTATAGCATACACATGGTTTGGGGTGTTAGGATCATTAAATATAGCATACAGAGTAAATACGTTTGATAAGTAGTAATTACTGCTTTCCTAATTAATTTAATATTTTATATATTTATATTAGGAAAGACATATTCGGCATCACAGTAAAACTTAAGAGTTCGGAAAGAAATATGGTAGGTGCAAGAAGAAAGCCCCTGCGTAAAAGACTCGGAGGATTTGAGGCGAAGTAACACCTAGCCCAAGACGTGGTATGGATTGAGCTGACTACTTAATAGGCCCATCTATTGTTTGATATGGTGCTTCGGCATCAATTTTGTAAGAACACAATAAAACACTCCTATTAGGCAATATTTACTTTGAATAATCTTATTTATTAAAGTATTTTCTTAAAATATTATTTCAATAAAATGCACATAATCTTAAAAATATTTATTGTATTTGATTGATAATCTATAATTTCTATCTTTAAAAAACTTTTCCAATAATTGGTAAATGAATGAATATGTAAGGTTTGAACACTTTGGATAGTTTTATCATTCAATTTGGTAGATTATGTATTAATAAGTAAGGTTTTGATCCCTTTGACCAATCTCATTGCTGATAAGCCACAAATCTATAAATATTATATTTAACCATGTAACCGAAAAGTATTGGTAACATATAGAGTTGTTTTTTACCCTAATTATAAAGGAAATAGCATTCAAATTTAAAATTTCTGTAATTTCCCCCCGTAATCAAGCAATCATAATTTTTGTTTTATTGTTTGTATTTTCTTTGAAAAATTTTGAAGTCATCTTATTTTCTTTGATCAATAATTTTCTAATTTTAATATTCTATTTCGAGTCATTCAACTACTAATGAGTAGTGCCTCTATGTGGTTCTATTCTAGTATCATTATTAATTGATGGTCTAGGTTGGTCATGATTATCATCGTATCCTTTGTTCTTATTTGATAGGGTTGGAGGGGGCAATACAACCATTAAACTAGCATCATAACATTCTTAGATAGTTTTGTAGTAAACATGTAGCATGATCATGTCCCATGATGTTGATTAAATTTTGATTAATAAATAAGGGTTCAAAGCAATATTTTCGAAATCATTCAACACAAGCTAGTCAAGAAGGACTTATATGAAAGTGTTTTGGTTGATGATAAGGTATCAACTTTTGATTGTTTAGCTCTTTAAATTTTCCTCCTCAAACATGGTGTACAAATATAAATACCTTTTTGTATCCACTTTTTCACGGAAAAGCTCTACAATTTGATCATCATAAGGGTGTAAGGCATATTTTTGAAATTTTCAACTATTTCAACATCTTCTAGTAAAAAATCTCAATTTAACTTCCTTGATATACCAAGGTCTTTATGATCACAAAGTTTTCATTCTCTACAGTAATCACCATGGGATCATCTTATAAGGGGTTGATGACCTTGAAGTCTTTATTAGTGAAGGTAGATGAGGATGTTATTCTTTTTAGAGTTGTTGTCATTGTGTGAACTCACTCTATCATTCGTAAACACTTTTTTCAGGTTGAGACAAATGAATATTCACTTTTAAAACCCCAACAATGGTATTGATCACATCTTAAAGTGGTACATCACATGTTTGCGCTTCTCAAGATGTTTGATATGCTTGTCATGTCACACCTCTTCTCAACTATCATGATTTTCTAACTTCTTTTTGTTTGGTAATCCATCCTCGATATCTTGATTATCTTTTTATGAATCTTTATAGGAGTTTCACTTGATTCAACTCTTATATCTATCTTTTAGTATAGTACATTATTCAATGTTGTAATCAAACTTGTGGTGATATTAGAAAATTGTTTGTTTGTGCCCTTGGGAAGTGTAGGGACTTTTTGTGGGGTGGGAACAATCTCAACATTAAGATCTTTTTCCAAGACATGGGTTCTCTACTCATTCAAGGATGTGTACTATAAGACTCTTGGGATCTAGGCTATTGGGTTTGTATGATGGGTATGTGTCTTTCTAGTTAGTCCTTCTTATGTTATTACTTCTCTAACACTACAGTTTATGTCGGGTTTTGTTTATGAAGCCCGTCAATTATTCTAGTTGTATAAACATGGCAGCTCATGTTCGCAATTCATTAAGGTCTGAGGTTGGCATCTTGTATTGGATGTTTGCAAAGGATCTAGGTATGAAAGTTCTAATCATGTGATATTATGTTATTTTGGGATTTAAGTTCTTTATACTCAAAGCTCCTTTTTTCAATATCTCCTAGAATGTCCTTAGAAGCTTACACTTCTCTTGTTAGATATTGACTAGGATGATGGACGTTAAATATTGTTGTTGACTTGTTGCAAACCACATACCAAAATTTCTCACAAGTATGTCAAACCAAATCAATGGAATGAAATAGGAGTTGTGTAAGCTAGCTTAAAGTTGATTTATATTAGGAAGTGGGGAACACTCAACAAATCATTACATTTTTTTATGGTGTAGATGTTTATATGTTGTTTATGTGTCTGTCTAGGTCAATTATCCTATTATATCGATCAAATTGAGAGACTCTTGTATGTGTAGAAATCACAATTTCCATCAATAAAAGGATGATGCCAAGTCTTATTGATGGTTAGGGAGGAATGGATTAAGGCATTATATTGTGACATCATTCTAGATTGACTTAAGACTTTCAAGATTTTATGATTTCAATCAACAATGAAGATATTAACTGCAACTTACTTGGAGTTTCTTTTTGTGTCATCTTTATTTGACATCATTTTAGTGTTCACAAGACATATGGCATCTTACCTCTAATTTCTTTTTCATTAATTTATTTTCTTAAGACATGGATTCCTCCAACCTTTTTGTCCTTGGATGTCTAACAATTGTTACTTTTTATTATTTGTCATGTTTCTTGTTGAAGCACCAAAGTCCTTTGAAGCACCAAAGCCCTTTGAAGCTAATTCAATTCCCAAGTGAAAATGTGCTTATATACTTATAAATTTATAAATATATTGTGTATAAAAATTATTGAATACAATATTGTACCTATAAATTGTTTATTTATATATATAATAAATTGATGAACCTTTCATTTGAATAACCAAATATTAGCATAATAATCTATGGTAAATAATTTACATTTAAACTGATAATATATCAACTTATTTAATGCGGTAGTAATTACTCAAAATCAATATTATTAAAAAATAAAAAAATATATCTTCGTATTGTTCATTTTAATCAAGTATACCGTTAACGTTACTACGGATAAAACAACCATTTTTTTAATTTAAAGATTAGAAAACAGTTTTCAATTTTAAAGAATAAAAGAAAAAGTAATCCAAATTTTACAAATAAAAGTTTATTTAAGCAAAAGCACAAATGATTTTCTTCTTGATGATGTAATATGATACGATACTTCCCCAAGTCCAATTTTACTCCTTAATATTTCATCTTAATAATTGAATCGTACAGAGGCAATTCAAAACCTTATAATTTTCAACGACTCCCTTTATCTTTAATACTATTGCTCCTGCTTTTACACGTCTCAATGTTTGGTTTAGTTTGTCTTTAATGTTTGGTTTAATTTGACCAAATATTTAATTTTATTCCAAAGACAAAAATAAACTTATAATCATCATGTAAATCTAAATAAAACCGTTTTGAACTAATCACATCAAAGTCGATTGGCCACAAGTTCAAAGATAAATTGATTTAGTATTTCCTGATGAGAAAAATTAGAAAAAGATTAATCTTAATATAACAATGAATATATTGAATCACTGTAATTAGAGCAGCAACAACTAACAAATAGTTAGATCTAGGACATAGCCCAACAGAGCCGAAATTACTATGACAAACAAAGCAAAAAGCCCATAAAGCATTGTAAAACATTACAAAAAAGAAAAAGTAATAATGCTACCTAGTCAGGAAAAAAACATAACCAGAAACTTAGTGAAAGGTTCTGGCAAAAAACTTCTGACTGGTTAACATTTTCACAACAAAAATATGCTTAAAATTATATATTCTGTAGCTGCTCTCAGATTTTAGGTGAAGTAGCATTCAACCCAAGCCATGGCAAGGACTCAGCTGATGGCCCGTTCGGTACTTGATATGGAGCTTTGGAAGCAATTCTGTAAAACAACAGAAGGAAACATTATTGACTGAACAAAAACAAAAGGGTTGCAATTCCACTAATAATATCTATATTATCAAGACAAAAGAAAAAGAAAAACCAGATCTGCAAAGGGTAAATGGAGATTTCTCTTTTTCAAACAAGGAAAAATGAAAAGAATTCACATCTGGGCTAGCTTGTGAATAAATTTATTTGATTTTAAGTTTGCCCACAACTGCAGGATTGTGCTTTGGTTCAACTTATTTAAAACAAAAATGAATGATTTTTGAAAAAATGGAAAGATTATTGTTTCCCTAAAATATTCCTATACTAAACATGCACAAGATGTTTAAAGTTTTCTTTGTTTGGGTGAAAGTGCATACCTATCCTTTCTCTTCAAAAGAAACCGGTGGAGTGAAGCTTTTCTAGCAATTGGTGGATCTGCTCAAAAAGGAAATTCATGATTAGAAAACAAAATAATCCATATAACAAAATTGAATAAAAATATTCATCTCAAAAGTATTAATGATCTTAAGAAATTACCACAAACAACAGGCCTGGATGATGGTTGAGAGTGTTCAAGGATGGAGTTGGTAATAGTCACAGTGGGAATAATTGGAGCACTTGAATCAGCAGAAGTTCTGACCAAATTAGGAGGAAATGAAGGTTGGCTCTGTGTGTAAGTGAAAACAGAATTGTTCTGGCTCTGTGGCTTCCCTCTAGCATAGGACATGATCTCATTTGCTTTATCAGCAGGAAAATCATCAAACACAACAACTTGTCCTCCATAAAAGATTGTCATCTGAGCAGTCTTAGCAACCTTGCTCACAGACTTAATTGCACTGCACACCATGAGTTAATACAAAAATTGTCACATACTAGTTTAAAGGCAATTTTTCTAGTGAACAAACAGCCATAAAAGAAATTGGAGATTTAAATAGCATATCTAAAGGGTGGAAGCAGTTATGAATTGGTATGCAGTCATTGCTCATTAATATTCTTCAACACCAAGTTGGAACAAAAGGTTACTGTTAATTGACTTGGCAACAAATTAAAGAAGCAAAAGCAACCAACCTGGAATTAATCAAGGTTGGAATCTCCTCTGAAGGACGATAGGAAGCTTGTGGAGAGAGCAAATCCATAGCTGTCAGGTTCTTTGGTGTAACGTTGTTTTCCTTGGTAGGAAACAAGTTCATAGTTGTAGCAGATTGACAAGAAGTCTCAGGTGACCCTGTAAAAAATTTCACATCAGAAAAGAAAAAAGGAAATCTCCAAAACATGCAAAATATCTGACAATTAATCTTGTTTTCAAACAAAAGAGAACACTAAAATCAAACCCTTTTCTTCACTTTTTCTCATTCAAATAAGTGGGGCAAATTTGGAGTCATGAGTTAGATCTAGGAATTTCAAAAGACATGTAGAGCAATAAATTAGCAACAAAGCTAGATACCTGAGAATTGAGAGAGAAATTCAAGCCTAAAACTAAAAAATGTTTCAATTCATAAAAAAAAATAATAAAAAAAATTGAAAGACCGATTCCTAAAGATATATTTATCTCAAAACAAACCAAGATGAAAGGAATAAGCAATTGAGTACCCATCAAGATTCCAAATGTTTCCCTTCCTACACTTTCTACAGAACTAAGCAACACCCAAAACTTTCGCTGAAATTGCACATAGAAAAACCCAAAAGAAAAAAAGAAAGAGAAAAAAAAACATTTCCATAGTTTAAGGAGGCGTACCACATGGTTCAGCGTTGCATGTCATACCGAGGGTGAGATCTCCAAAGCTACCCTTCTCCTTGATGTATTGACTCAACAGACTGCAAGTTTGAGAGAAGCTTGACTTCTCCGGCGACTTGGCCGATTTCTGGCCGGAAAATTCAGAGTACTCCGACGAGCTGGACATGATTAATTGAATCTACTCAGAAAGAGAAACACAAGTTTTCGGTGAGAGAGAGAGAGAGAGAGAGAGAAAGAGAAGCAGAGAACGCGTGGTTTGACGGTGAGGGTCGTTGGATTACGAAGGAAGAGTCCGAAGATGTAATGATAATCTTTGTCTCCGCCCCTTCATCTTATATATATAAATCAATGATAACCAATTTCAATAGCTCCAATAAAATAATAATAGTATTATTATTATTTAAATTTTGAATAAGGAGGTGGAAGATTGGAGCACGAGGAATATGTGGGGTTTTTCGAAAGCGGTTCTTTTCTTTTCTTGCCGCTGTCTGCTCCCATGTCATACGGTTCCATTTGTTGTGATTTTCCCAAAGTCTCCCTCATAAATTTTTTTTTATTCTTGTCCATAATTATTTATTTACTTGTTTATTATTATTATTATTAATATTATTAATGTGGTTTTGTATTTTTCTTTCCACCACGTGTTGTTTGCGTCGGTAAACTAAACGGCGACGAAACGGTTACGTTTGCGCTCCGTTTAGATTTGTTTTTTACGACTGCGTTTTTCACTACCTTAAATGCGCCCACGTTTTTGGTTTTATCTTTTCACGTTTAACTCATTCATTCTTTTACGAACTGTTCATACCATTGATAATTAATGCTTTTGCTTAAATATCACGCGCTTTGGATCATTTAAATATCTTCTTTTTACATATCTTTTTATTATATTTATAACTAACTTATTAATTTAACTATATATAATAAATTATCCGGCTGTTACTTTCATGAAAGTTACAAAATACGCTGGTTATTATATTATAATATTAATACACAAAATTCAGTTTTTCACTGATTTTTATTGTTTCAATATAAAATTTTATTAATTATTTTTATTTTATTGATTGTTATAATTATTAAATTATTAATTTAGTTTTCTTATTATTGTAAAAAAGTGGCACACAGCACCTGTTTTTACCAATTGTTTTACAAATAGTATTGTTGTATACGGACAAAAATCTATTATTATCGCGTTTGTCTGTTATTTTATTTTATTAAAATAATATAGAATTTAAAATACGTAACGTTGCAAGAATAAATTAAAAATATTTTTTAAAAGTATTTTATTCATATTTTTATTATATATATATATATATATATATATATATATATATATATATATATATATATATATATATATATATATATATATATATATATATATATATATATATATATATATATATATATATATATATATATATATATATATATATATATATATATATATATATATATATATATATATATATATATATATATATATATATATATATATATATATATATATATATATATATATATATATATATATATATATATATATATATATATATATATATATATATATATATATATATATATATATATATATATATATATATATATATATATATATATATATATATATATATATATATATATATATATATATATATATATATATATATATATATATATATATATATATATATATATATATATATATATATATATATATATATATATATATATATATATATATATATATATATATATATATATATATATATATATATATATATATATATATATATATATATATATATATATATATATATATATATATATATATATATATATATATATATATATATATATATATATATATATATATATATATATATATATATATATATATATATATATATATATATATATATATATATATATATATATATATATATATATATATATATATATATATATATATATATATATATATATATATATATATATATATATATATATATATATATATATATATATATATATATATATATATATATATATATATATATATATATATATATATATATATATATATATATATATATATATATATATATATATATATATATATATATATATATATATATATATATATATATATATATATATATATATATATATATATATATATATATATATATATATATATATATATATATATATATATATATATATATATATATATATATATATATATATATATATATATATATATATATATATATATATATATATATATATATATATATATATATATATATATATATATATATATATATATATATATATATATATATATATATATATATATATATATATATATATATATATATATATATATATATATATATATATATATATATATATATATATATATATATATATATATATATATATATATATATATATATATATATATATATATATATATATATATATATATATATATATATATATATATATATATATATATATATATATATATATATATATATATATATATATATATATATATATATATATATATATATATATATATATATATATATATATATATATATATATATATATATATATATATATATATATATATATATATATATATATATATATATATATATATATATATATATATATATATATATATATATATATATATATATATATATATATATATATATATATATATATATATATATATATATATATATATATATATATATATATATATATATATATATATATATATATATATATATATATATATATATATATATATATATATATATATATATATATATATATATATATATATATATATATATATATATATATATATATATATATATATATATATATATATATATATATATATATATATATATATATATATATATATATATATATATATATATATATATATATATATATATATATATATATATATATATATATATATATATATATATATATATATATATATATATATATATATATATATATATATATATATATATATATATATATATATATATATATATATATATATATATATATATATATATATATATATATATATATATATATATATATATATATATATATATATATATATATATATATATATATATATATATATATATATATATATATATATATATATATATATATATATATATATATATATATATATATATATATATATATATATATATATATATATATATATATATATATATATATATATATATATATATATATATATATATATATATATATATATATATATATATATATATATATATATATATATATATATATATATATATATATATATATATATATATATATATATATATATATATATATATATATATATATATATATATATATATATATATATATATATATATATATATATATATATATATATATATATATATATATATATATATATATATATATATATATATATATATATATATATATATATATATATATATATATATATATATATATATATATATATATATATATATATATATATATATATATATATATATATATATATATATATATATATATATATATATATATATATATATATATATATATATATATATATATATATATATATATATATATATATATATATATATATATATATATATATATATATATATATATATATATATATATATATATATATATATATATATATATATATATATATATATATATATATATATATATATATATATATATATATATATATATATATATATATATATATATATATATATATATATATATATATATATATATATATATATATATATATATATATATATATATATATATATATATATATATATATATATATATATATATATATATATATATATATATATATATATATATATATATATATATATATATATATATATATATATATATATATATATATATATATATATATATATATATATATATATATATATATATATATATATATATATATATATATATATATATATATATATATATATATATATATATATATATATATATATATATATATATATATATATATATATATATATATATATATATATATATATATATATATATATATATATATATATATATATATATATATATATATATATATATATATATATATATATATATATATATATATATATATATATATATATATATATATATATATATATATATATATATATATATATATATATATATATATATATATATATATATATATATATATATATATATATATATATATATATATATATATATATATATATATATATATATATATATATATATATATATATATATATATATATATATATATATATATATATATATATATATATATATATATATATATATATATATATATATATATATATATATATATATATATATATATATATATATATATATATATATATATATATATATATATATATATATATATATATATATATATATATATATATATATATATATATATATATATATATATATATATATATATATATATATATATATATATATATATATATATATATATATATATATATATATATATATATATATATATATATATATATATATATATATATATATATATATATATATATATATATATATATATATATATATATATATATATATATATATATATATATATATATATATATATATATATATATATATATATATATATATATATATATATATATATATATATATATATATATATATATATATATATATATATATATATATATATATATATATATATATATATATATATATATATATATATATATATATATATATATATATATATATATATATATATATATATATATATATATATATATATATATATATATATATATATATATATATATATATATATATATATATATATATATATATATATATATATATATATATATATATATATATATATATATATATATATATATATATATATATATATATATATATATATATATATATATATATATATATATATATATATATATATATATATATATATATATATATATATATATATATATATATATATATATATATATATATATATATATATATATATATATATATATATATATATATATATATATATATATATATATATATATATATATATATATATATATATATATATATATATATATATATATATATATATATATATATATATA